CTTTAAAAATGGAAACTTTTTCCATAGACAAGTCAAAAAATACGCAGAATAATTTGTTTGTGATGAGCCCACGTCGTAGCTGCCGCTACATTTTCCCCAAAATGTTTGTGCATTTGAGCTGAGCTCAGCTGGTCCCAGGTCAGTCAATGTTGCCCCCGAACCAGAACTTTAAGCAGCTGAAGACAGCAGAAAATGTTCCGATACTTCTGCTTGGAATTTCAATGTGGACTGAACTGGACAGGATCTATAAACCGCAGTCACCTGCACTTACAGTTCATCGATAAAAAAAAGAGGACACGATCCGCTCCCGTGGCCAGAAGTGGAGACAAACTGTTGACTTACTGCTAGCATACAAGTCGTCAATGGAGGCAAAACACCTTCACGACAAGTCGTCAATGGAGGCAAAACACCTGTGAAAATATATATATACGGAATAAACGTCCAAATTTGGCCCCTGGGTCAGAGGTTGGTTTCATGTTGGTTCCTATTGTGACAGGAGTGTGTATCCAATCCAAAATCCTCCGAAAGGAAAAGATCTGGTAGAGTTCTGTTAATCCGTTAATCCGACCCATTTTTTTTAACAACCCCGGGTCGGCAGAGTTGGGTCCAAACAGTCCTGTTCAAGGCACATTTGAACGTCCACAGGCATCTTTGATTCAGATGACGTCGCCGCCTCTGTGTGGAAGCAGTGCAAAAACCCGGCTCAATCTTTGGCGTCGTCACGGAGGCTCAGAGACTGTGACGGGAAAAATGGAGAAGGTGCAGAATTTAACAAACATCCCTTAAACGTTGCCAAAGAGTCCAAACTGCCCTTCCTCTGCTGAAGAACAAAGAAAGGCGTCGGATGGAAAAAATCAGGTCCCAGTCAAAAAGACGCATTTTCAACCTCACGGACGGACGGACGGGAAGACAGGAGTCGGAAAGGGCTACGCTCACTGGGTTACTTTCCGAAGGCTAAACCTGAGATAGGTCATGGCTGCTCATAACGCCGTGCAGGTAGATAATCCGTCCAATAACAAGGAGCAGAAGGCCCACAAACAGCAGCACACCGGGCCTGGGAGGGTTCTCACCAATCACAGCTTGCCGTCGTCTAACTGCCGCCCGCTGGAACAAACAACAAGGGAAACACAGAGGTTAGACATTAGCGTGTTAGCATCGGCAGAGTGTTAGCATCGGCATGTACCAACCAGTAACAACACGGACACTGACCACATTGAACTCTTAACCACTGAGCCACTGGTTGATCAGCGAATCATCATGACAGAAATCAATGTGCTCATTTCACAGCAGGTTTTCATGACAACTAAATGTATTTAAACTAAGATGAAGTTTTGTGCTCATTTCACAGCAGGTTTTCATGTGTGTGTGTTTGTGTCAGGTGTTTAGGTAAACACACACATTTTTACAGAGGGATCCCTTGATGGTTTCAAATCAAAGACACACACACGCTGATTACATCCACAGGAAGCAGGTAAGTACAGTTTCCAACATCCTGCCTCTGCATTTCCAGGTGTGATTTTGTTTTTAATGTCTGTTTGAAGGCGTTCGTGTCGAGAAATCAGGATCTCCTGTCCAGGCACCAGATACACCAGAAACAGTAGAAACATTAGATTCAATAAATAAATAATATGACACCAACGTTAGCCTCAACAGTCCTGGTACAGACACCGGAGCTAACGTTAGCTACAACAGTCCTGGTACAGACACCAGAGCTAACGTTAGCTACAACAGTCCTGGTCCACTTTGTGAACCCACGACCCACAGTTGCTTTGTTTTGACTTTGAAGTCGTCTGTTCAAAGTCAAAGTCTGTTCTTTTCCAACCAAGGCTACGAAATCAACTCTTTATTTCATGTCCAACTCTGCTGTTCAAACAGCTGTGTAGACAATCTGTGCACAATGTGGCCCGAATCAACGTAAAGTCGACCTCAGCCGCCGTTTGCTGTGATAAATAAAACTTTTATTAGCTTCAGACGCGGGCGTTTACAAGAAAAAGAATCAGTTTTTCCTCCGGGATTGGAGAATGTCCTGTATTGGCACGCAGCCCATTTTTAATACACACGGACCAGATGGACTGTTCAATACCATCCAGCCCACATGTTTGACGGGCACAGAATCTGGCTCGGGGGCGACAGAGCACTCTGAAAAACAGGATCCTCGCAGATGAG